GAGAGAGAGAGAGAGAGAGAGAGAGAGAGAGAGAGAGAGAGAGAGAGAGAGAGAGAGAGAGAGAGAGAGAGAGAACAGGCATCTGGGGCATTGGATTCGTTCGCTCTTAGCAACAGAGCAAACAAGGGATGTGACAAACTTCAATGCAGGATAGAATGGATGTGGCCGGACTATACTAATGGTGGTGGTGATGGTCGGGGGAGGGGGGCACAGGCAGGTGAAGCGGCAAGCTGATGGGTTGCCCATACTGAAACTGTACAGCCTCTTTTGACACTGCACTAGACATGCTCCCTTTTAGACGAGAACTTATTATTGGAGATTAGACAAACAGGTAAGACTGCTATAGCTATTGATACTGTATTGAATCAGAAGCAGATGAATGCAAAAGGTGCCTCTGACAAAGAAAAGCTGTATTGTGTGTATGTAGCAATTGGTCAGACACGTTCGACTGTAGCACAGTTCGCGAAAGTTCTAGAATATTATATTTTATTGTGGCAGCCACTGCATCAGATCCTGCTCCTCTTCAATTTCTAGCTCCTTGTGAAGGTTGTGCTATGGGAGAATTTTTTGAGACAATGCCATGCACGCTCTAATTATCTATGATGATCTGAGTACAAAACAATCAGTGGCATATCGACAAATGTCATTATTGTTACGTTGACCACCAGTTATCTACATTCTCATTTGTTAGCAAGAGCTGCCAAAATGTTGCGCAACAGTTTTTTGATACGCGATTCGCCTTTATGCAAGGTCCTTTTCACATTGGGCCACAGACAGCACCACACTGCTACCGCTGCCTTTCAACCGTACTGTAGTGGAATTCATCACATCAATTTTTTTTCAATGTTCTGCACCATTTTTTGATGCATCATGCATGGCTTTCCTTTGCAAATGGCGCTTTTTCACCATGTTTCTCACCACCGGCGCCCGACTTGGCCAATTCACCACATAGCCGCGTCCTTGTTTTGCTGGATGCAGCTGGCCATGCTCTCAACACAATGACATTTAGTGGTTTCTACACTGTTGGGGTATCATCTCAACCCAATGACATTTCAGAATGTTAAATGTTCATATTCCAAACATGCTGACGCACTTCAATGTCCTCGAAACCAAAACAATGTATGATGTATGCATTAAGACTTTTAGACCCTCCAGCAACCGACGTACCTTATCAAAGATAAAGCGCTCTGCAACACGCTTCACTGTGTCTGCGTCAACTGCATCAATTCGGGCAAAGAGCTCAGCCAGTGGCAGTCTGCGCCCGTATGTGAGCATCTGGGTTGTCCGGACATAATTCGGATCACAATACATTACACCAACACAATTCAGAGACAACGCGACAGCACATAGATGAGTTGCTGGTAAACACGGGGGAAATTATTAATTAATAAAATATCCAGAGAGCCCAATAACTACACCCAAGCACGTTCACACTTGTTCACCATCATCGGAGGTCAAATGGATCAGTTTTCGCAGAGAATGTGGCAGGCAATCACAAGGTAGGGTTGGACAGCACACAACATCAGATACATTGAAGTGCTCATTAACAGAATTTCAGAGTTGGAGAAGGGCATTTGACACTATAGATGACTAGGCAACCAGAGTGGCCCGGGACAACTTGCCCGGCTGGGCAAAAATAACAATAAAAATAAACTAACTTTATTTTTTATTTAAAAGAAAATCGGTAACGAATTTCGATATGACCCTGAGGCAAAAGTTGTTCAGTTCATTTTTCTGCATAACATCATTTTTTTTTCAGATTCTTTTAATTATTTTTTTGGTTCTGCTGGGGCCTTTTCGGCCCTTGCACGGCCGGGCCGCCCGGGCAAACAGGGTGACCCGGGCGGCCCTGCTGGTAGCCTAGATAATACATGACCAAAACTCATGTGCCTCCCAAGAGTGCAAACGGTTAGTAATTCTCAACACCTTGCTTACATTTAAAAAAATGGTTTTGGAAAAGTTGCAGGAGTTCTGCCTGGAGGGCTGCAAACATAAGGACGCTGATCATAGCAGGTGTCTCCCGCAAAAGGACACACATAGTCAGGGGCTTAAATCGGAAAACGGGGAAAGAAGAAAAATGCGGAGCACTAGAGATGGAAATAGAATCTTGGTGCTGGAAGCATCCGCGGCGGCAGCTAAACACGAAGATATACTTCTGGCTCCGCATTCACATTTAGACCAAGAGCCTGTTGCTCTCTTTTTTTAGATATAGGAATCATGTTATTTCATTCATGTACTTGTGTAGATTTGAACTCAGGTTTGTATTTCAACAGTTTATGGGTCTACCAACTAACCTGGGCTCGTTGGTACAAATGTATTGATATCTACCAATTTCAAACTCACTACTGAAAAAAGGACGCACGACGGCAGCTAAACGTGAAGACATACTTCTGGCTCCGCATTCACATTTAGACCAAGAGCCTATTGCTCTCTTTTTTTTAGATATAGGAATCATGTTATTTCATTCATGTACTTGTGTAGATTTGAACTCAGGTTTGTATTTCAACAGGTTATGGGTCTACCAACAAACCTGGCCTCGTTGGTACAAATGTATTGATATCAACCAATTTCAAACTCACTACTGAAAAAGGGACGGGCCTGTTCAAACTCGATAAATCCCTCATTAACAGTCAGATCTTCTCAAAGAGGATACGCACAAGTTGGAGACGGCTGCGAGGTGGACTCGTTGCAGCCACATGCAAGCCTAGTCAGGGATCCAGCCATTCTCCCTTGCGCCAGCATGCACCTAGTCAGTTTATGGGTCTACCAGCATGCACCTGGGCTGACTTACCGGCACAGGGATACTGGGAACTTCAACGGCAACAACGTACAGCATGCAGGAGATAACAGGAGCTGAATGAATGGGAATGCTCAGTAAGGCTGGTTATAGACTCCTGAAGACAAAAAACCATTCAATAAATCAAGAGGCTGCACTTTCAAAATAGGAGGGGACCTGTACGATTTGCTCGGGCACAAAAAGACTGTTTTCCGCATTTCAGACTCTGCTGTACTGGGACTTTTTAAACTTATCGCTCCACATCTACTTTGTTCATTTGCTTTTACACGACAGTGTTGTGATGCAAACTCTGCACAGACTGCATTTCACTTTATGATATGATTACGTCAGGACATCAAGAAAAGGACCATGTTTATCACAAATAATTCACTGCATGGCCGTCAACCATAGAAACAGGTTACTATAATGAATTCCAGAAAACAGCGCCTCGACAGAGGTTTCTCTTTAGACCTTCTACCAGCAGTACAGTTTCCAGCTATTTGTCATGGCATGGCAGTTCACACGCCGCAAAACTGCAAGTTGGGGCTGCTGGACAGAAAAGGCTGGCGGCACCATGCAATACATACGTCGCACCAGCTTGGCTGAAATTGACACGCGACAAAGATCCACATTGGGAAAAAGAGGCTCGAGCACACTGGTGCATGCAATCCACAAAATCGTTCCTATGCTACTAAATAATGAGTGGGATTATCCTCACCTGACGGCCAATATCCTCTGCTATTGGGCTGGTGCCGTCCAAATGGAGCAGACAGCCGGACTTCAGCTGGTCGGATAAATTAAACCAGTTCCACCCATACCCCAAAAAACGGTGCACAGGCCAAAACATGAACACCCATGAGCGCGCGCACACACACAGACACAGGCACACACAGACACAGGCACACACACACACACACACACACACACACACACACACACACACACAGACACACACACACACAGACAGAGGACAACAAAAACATCAGCGTTGCCTGAGACCCCTTAATAATGTAACCCAGTAAAGATCGAACCACCGAAAAAAAGATGACTGTGAACAAGAGGCAGCAAGTTAAGAATCTGAAATTCACAAAGAGAGCCACTGAAAGATATACACAACACCATTTACGGATGATCTGACGACCAATATTTTAACCAAGGAAATCAATCCATGCTGTGGCCGAAGACTCCACTCCACAACCAAATTTTGCACGCAACTCCCAAGCTAAAGATACCAAAAACAAATAATGCTATTTGAATAACACTACCCCTCACACTTTGTGGGCTGAGCACTATGTCAGTCACTATTTCGCTTTTCTATATAGGGAAACAGCCTTCAGGTATCATCATATTGAACTGACAAGTCAGAACTTTTTTTTTGAGAAAACAATCATTTATTCATTGAGGCGGAACTTGAGAGAGAGAGAGAAATACACAGCAACTTTGCATTTGGCAGACGAACCTGACTGACAAACTGACCTACATTCAAATTATCGCCTTCAGCTCAACACCTCAGTGCAAGGACTAAGACAGTCTACACGGATAGAATAGTGATTATGAAGGGATGGAGACTGGTACAGAGCCATCCTCTTTCTCTGTAGCGTGACTGATTCCACCTCTGCAAACAATGATGCTGTACTCGGTTTCACTTTCTGGGCATCCACATCATCCCTTACAACTGGCATGAATTATAACTGTCCCCACTTCAGGGCATAAAGCCTTGACGAGAACCACTGTTCTGTTTCATACAAACACTAACAAATGGTGGCATGCATGGACAAGTGGATCGTTCAACCTCACGTAAAACGAACTATCTACAAGAATTCTAGAAAATAATGCAGAGCGATTGCTGCAAGAGATGCCGACATCATGCACAGCAACTACAGACAAAAGTTCAAGGCACAGTAGTATGCGAGGTTAGGCATTACAAAGGTGGAGAAAATTGCACTGACAATCGCGTAGCACATACTTGATTGCGAGCTCGAATAACGTCACCGTCTGAAACACGGTAGATCATCCTTGCCACCTCGTGCATGATACAGTATGCAAGATCATCCAGCTTGTCCGGCTGTTCGCAACAGCACCAGAAAACAACCATCAGACTCAGGGGTGGGTGATCCACATTCATACACCCAGCACATGCATAACGTGTCTATAGGCCGAGTCTTCGACTAGGTTCGTGCTAACGTGGCACAAACATAGCACCAACGGGTCCAGGACCTGGGCAGAGCAGGAGTCCATGCAGGAAGACAGGCGAGGAGAGTCCCTTCTCGGGGTAAGAGCACAAACCATGACTACAACACAGATCCAAGGCAGAAACATTGTGGTGTGTCTAGATAACCAATGTTCAGATAGTGAACATACCCAGGTAAACCAAACATATCGCCGCGTAGCTACCGACTAAAAGAGCACCTTTATGAAACAAAAAATGAAGACGGAAGAAGACGTGAGACACAGGGAAACCGTTCTTTACCTTTTCCCGTGTTTCTTTTCCTTCTTTCTTTTGGCTTTTTTTTTTCATCGCTGCTTTTCTTTCGGTTACAAAAGATTCTGTAGAATAGGAAAATTATAATTGTTTTATGAACTCTTCATTAAACCACCACTACTCCTCACTCTTTCTTTGGCGAGGCGAATTCGCCCCGCGACCCAAAAAGAAACAAACCGCCACGGCAGCGTTTTTCTCTTTGCTTCTTTTCGCTGCCGCCACTAGTGATTTCGGTTTGGTAGCACTCTTCATCCAAAATTTTCCAGATGTCACATTTCCGTCCTTTACTTTGCCGGAAAAAAGGTAGTGGCCGTTTACAATTCCCCTTTCGGAGTCTGCTGGAATCGAAGAAAGCTCTTCGCAGTTTGAAGTTTGCACATCCAATGGTCCAGAAAGACCAGAAAGTCCAGAGCACTTCAACTCCAAACAGTATCCGATTGCCAACAGGTCAAATGCCCTACGGCCGCCCGACTAAACATGCCAATAGTGACCAAATATCATGTGAGCTACTAAAGAATATGCAATGATCTTTTTCAGATCGATTTGTCTTAATGTAGTTAAGTATATATTATAGCAATCGCACTAAAAAACCTCCAATCCATTTATGTGTCCAGCCCTCAAGTTCGCCCTAGAGAGACAATCAGTCATCAACACTGGGAAGCACATCCTCAGTCCACTGGCACCCACTCTCCTGGGCCTCTAGGAATGCGAGCACTCTAAGGAAGCCAAGAGATTTCTGTGTTTGAATTCTATTTCTTTGGCAAACATCACAGCCTGACAGGCATTGGCGCATATCGGCTTCATGCCCAGCCAGTAAAAACCACTGGATCACAAAAAAACCCTCGGAATCTTCACACAAGCAGTAATTTATACGTCACAGAACCCAATACAAGTGTCGACTCCTTTTGACGACCCAGAGGTAATATACAAGTCATTCAGTAGTTCGCTTTCGTAAACCCTATTGCATGTTTGTACAACGAACCAGCAAAACCGCAAACACGCTATGAATAGAATCGTCGACCAAAAGCAGATGCTGAATCCAAAAACAAAGACCCACCACTTCAATCTACGAAAAGCAAGATCATTCTAGACACAGAAAACCACAGATCGTTGTGAAAGTAACAGAGCCTGCAATGACGAAAATCATCGGACACATTAGAGGACTCTGACAGAAGAATGTTAACAGGTTATTTGATGGAACACGCTACCCTGACTACCGACATCTTTTCAAGGCCATGTGAAAATCAGATCAGGAAGATGCACAGACAACCAATACAGGACATAGGGAGTGTCAGAGACTGAAAATCCCATCAACAAGATACCCGGACTACCAATATCTTTACAGGTCATAGGGCGAGGCAGACAATGAAAATCCCATCAGGTGGTCTTCACCAGGTAAGGGTTTTAGTAACTCTGACTGCTTTTTAGTTTGCTTGTCACAAATCACTCTATTAGGACAATGACCATACCTGACCAACAGCATATACACCGAAAAGTCCTGCATCACTGTAGTTCGTGTTGAAAGCCATCACGCTCTCGGCAAGATCATTGGCAGCCACCTTCTGGGCCAGCTCTGACCTGAAGTACTCCCACAGCCACAGCACAAACCACGATCAAGGCTCAGTGTTCTGCAGTGCATCTATTTTGCATTCCACTCTTCATTCGCATGACACTCCGAGAACGTTCAAGCACAGAAGAGGTAAAATACCTGACATTTCACACTTTCGCTCGCACTAGAGGACAGTTGAAGAAATTCTAGCAGAGGTACCCACCATGCAGAAAAGAGGTACGAGTACGATCAACATGGAAAGCGAGAGGAACAAAATAACGCAACACAATTGTCGTATGCCCTGCTAGGGACTACTCTCCGACAAGACTGTCTACATTGAGCCGTATCCTCTTCTCGGGACTCTCCGTCAAGACAGTCTATACTGCAGACTTGGGATTTGGAGTACCGATATATAGGGGAGGACTGGCAAAAAACAAAGCCCACCTGTCGACACAAGACCATACGTCTGGAACCTTTCAGGCCAGAAGCCTGGCCTTTGACCCTTGGTGCTGCAGGCCCCAATACTTAACTTTTCTCCTTATCTAGAAGGATCCAAAAGAGCGGACGCAATAAGATAGACGATAGATAAGGCACACGACAGACTGCCGATTGGAATCGTAAGAGAGATCTGCCATTTAGGACTGGGCCAGGTGAGATTTCGGTACTGTGTAGCTCTACCAGGTAGAATGAACCCAAAGACCCCATTCAGTCCTGTCTTAGCCAAACACAGGCAGACCACAAGTTGCTCATGGATCAAGTGAGTTCACGAGGATTGGGGATTTGGGTTGAAGATCTTCCAGCTCATCCCATAATCCAATAATCCAAGCTCGTCCTGCTAAGTCTTCTCCTACCCTCATACAGATCAACACCCAACACTCATTCTCCACCGAGTCCGTTGCGTAAGGGGAGACGCATGCGAAAAAGTACACCCAAGAAGGATACACCCACACTCGTTCTCCACCGAGCCTGTCTACGAAAGGCGGGCAACTGGCCAGCTCGGTATGTTCGGCAGGACACCATGACTTCAGAGGTATGAAGTTGAGCACCATCCAGCTATTATGCCAGCCCTCCCGCACTCGGGACAGAGCAAGCAGCGTTCTGGCACCAAGCAACCAGAAATAATGCCACAGGGAGACATACTGAGTACTTAGCAATACCTTTTGCCACATCAGACCATTCGTCGAAATGAAACTCAACCTGCGACTGTCATTGTTATTAGACGCTGGGCATTAAAATTGTTATGTTTTGGCTTCTCCCTTCAATGTTCCTCCATATTCTTTCCTTCCCTGCCACCTTGTTTCAATCCTGGACATTGACATACATGTCTACGTAATTACACTGTTTATTCTGGAAAAAGAACTCTAGACGGTCATGCATGGGTCCTGGAGACCATCTCACGCAAGTGTGTACATGCCATGCATCGTTCTCCCACACWCAACGAACAGTAGTCTGATAATAGACAAAGGTAGAGAAGATGAGAACCGAGTTTCACAGCTTATATTATCAAAAAATATGAATACAAAGTGTTTCAAAGTTTCCCTGAGTCCAGCGCTCATCAGCGCAACACCAATATCTTGCCAACTCATCAATATGCCTTCCAGTGAATCAGTGCTACCCCTGCAGATAGTCTC